CCGGTGCCAGACTGGCCATGGCCATAGTTGGAGCCACGCATGAAGTAGTTGCACTCAAAACACATGGTGGTGCCTAAAGGAAATTGTTATTATTAGAAAGGAGGAATTAAAATTAAAACAGTATTTGTCTCTATACCTCCATTTCCCAACCATGCTAGGTAACAGAACAACTTTATTTTAACTTAATATGCGTAGATGGTGGTGATAGCTGCAGAAACTTTTCACGTTATAAAGATAAAAGGCTACTTACATGGTATAAGTAATTATAGTAAGCCAGCCAGTATAATGATACCTAAAGACAAATATTTCAAATTTTTCCACATTTTGTCTATTTCTCTAAGTTATCATTAATTTTGTAATTTATTGTGGTTAATTGGATTTCTAACTTAAGGCATCCAACAAGAAGGCATCGTCAAGTCAAACTTGACTCTTCTGACTCTGATTCTGCATCTGGTCAAGGACAACCCGAACACCTAGGAAAAAGGAACAAAGAAACAGTGAAATCAGCAGGAAAGAAGATGTCTTCCAGAAACAAAGGTAACTTTTTAAAGACTTCGTAAGATTCAACAAGGGAAATGGGTCTTAAAGGTCCTCTTACCTTTATTTCTTTATTAAGAAGGATTTAGATACTTGTTTGAGAATATTAAGAGATTATATTAAAATAAATTCTCTTAGATTCTTAGAATCTTAATGCTGAAAGGGAACCTAGAAACCATATCAAATTATATCATTTATTTCATCGATGATGAATTTGCCCAGATTAAATAATTTGTCCAAAGTGATATAGCTAGATAGTTATGGAAACAGTCTAGGATTATCCAGTGCATACTTCATTAATAATTTTTGTGTGTGAATCAAACTTTTGTTAGATAAGATATGCTAAGTAATGCATTCTATAGACCATACTTCCCTTTAGCTTTTGACAAATGTGCAAAGGCAATTTTGTGGAGAAAGGATAGTCTCCAATAAATGGTGCTGACATAGTTTTACACCCCAAACAGATCCTTAGGCCGGGTCGGTGGCTCATGCCTGTAATTGCACTCTGGGAGGCTGAGGTGGAAAGATTGCTTAGCTCAGGAGTTAAGAGACCAGCCTGAGCAACATAGCAGACCCCAGTCTCTACTAAAAATAGAAAAATAAGCTGGCCATTCGTGGCGTGTGCCTGTAATCTCAGCTATTCAGGAGGCTGAGGCTGGAGGATCGCTTGAGCCCAGGAGTTTGAGGTTGTACTGAGCTATGATGATGCCACTGCACTCTACCCAGGGGTCAACGGATTAAATTGTCTCCTGGCTGGGTGCAGTGCTCATGCCTGTAATCCTAGCACACTGGGAGGCCGAGGTGGGTGGATCGCTCAAGGTCAAGAGTTCAAAACCAGACTGAGTAAGAGTGAGACCCCTCTCTACTAAAGATATATAGAAAAATTAGCCAGGAATGGTGGTGCGTGCCTGTAACCCTAGCTACTAGAGAGGCTGAGGCAGAAGGATTGCTTGAGCCCAGGAGTTTGAAGTTGCTGTGAGCTAGGCTGATGCCATGGCACTCTAGACAGGCAACAGAGTGAGACTCTGTCCCCCCCAAAAAAGATCCTTGACTTACACCTCAGTTATAAAAATAATCAAATGTAAAACCTAGAATTATAAGACTTGTGAAGAAAATGCAGGAGAAAAATGTTTGTTCTTGGGTCGGACAAGTTTTTTTATGTATGACACAAGAAACACAGCCATGAAAGGAAAAAATTGATAAATTGGACTTCCTCAAAATTTAAATTCTTGTCTTTGTAAGACACTGTTAAGGAAATGAAAAGACAAGCACAGAGTGAGAGAGAATTTTTGTAAGCTACAACCCTGATAGAGGTCTTGTATCCAGAACATATAAAAGAACTCTTAGGCCGGGCGCTGTGGCTCACGCCTGTAATCCTAGCTCTTGGGAGGCCGAGGCGGGCGGATTGCTCAAGGTCAGAGTTCAAAACCAGCCTGAGCAAGAGCGAGACCGTCTCTACTATAAACAGAAAGAAATTAATTGGCCAACTGATATATATATAAAAAAAATTAGCCGGCATGGTGCGCATGCCTGTAGTCCCAGCTACTCGGGAGGCTGAGGCAGAAGGATCACTCGAGCCCAGGATTTGAGGTTGCTGTGAGCTAGGCTGACGCCACGGCACTCACTCTAGCCTGGACAACAAAGTGAGACTCTGTCTCAAAAAAAAAAAAAGAACTCTTAAAACTTAATAAACAACTCACCCAGTGAAAAAATAGATAACACATTTCACCAAAGAAAATATGTGGATGGCAGATATGCATATGAAGAGAGATGCTGAGCATCTTTAGTTATTAGAGACATTCAAAATAAAATCATAGTGGCCAGGCATGGTGGCTCATGCCTGTAATCCTAGCTCTCTGGGAGGCCCAGGCAGGCGGATCTTTTTTTTTTTGAGACAGAGTCTCGCTTTGTTGCCCAGGCTAGAGTGAGTGCCGTGGTGTCAGCCTAGCTCACAGCAACCTCAAACTCCTGAGCTCAAACAATCCTTCTGCCTCAGCCTCCCAAGTAGCTGGGACTACAGGCATGCGCCACCATGCC